AAACACCCTAGACATGATACTAGGAATACCATAACAATCAACACATGATGTCTACATCATAAAATCAACAAAAATACTTACTTGGATGCCTCGTACCTCTTTCTAATTACAAAATACACACATTAGTAAATTCAAGGAAAATAATAATCAAAACAATTAAATTAAATAATTGAAAGAGAAATTTGGGACAAAACCCTCAGAAATTAAAACCTTTCACGTCTAGGGCGAAGGCAACTTCGAATATGGTTAGGTGTTTCTAGATCTTGTGAATGCGGAATTTTGTATGAAAAAGCAAGAAAGAAAGAACGCTAAAAGATTAATGTTATTGAGAATTGATGAAAGAAAGATGATGAGTGAAGAGAATTGGATGAATTATAATTGGTGAATGATGAAGACTTAAGAATAAGGAGAATTGGTGAATGTTGGTGATTGTTGATGATCGTTGATTGTAGATGATGAATGAAAACGGAGTTTTTGATACGATATTTATAGAGAAAATCAGCCAAAAAAGATAATTTATCAAAACAGAGTCTGAAGATCACAGAAACAACTTGGCGCCAGCCCTGGCTCATTGGCGCCAGGACCAGTGGCTAGCGCCAGGCGCCAATGGCTTGCGTCTGGCGCCAATCCTGGTTCCAGGCGCCAAGGCCTGGGGTTGGACGACAAACCGGCTTTTAACACGTTTTCGAAAATATGATAAAATTCACGTACTGGAAGATAAAATAATATAATTTCAGTCGAAAATGCTATTTGATCTAATAAAAACTCTAAAGAATCCTAATTGAATTAAGAATGATAAAACCTTCTAGAATGTTCTAGAAGACCAAAACCATTCCTAATTACATTAGGAATGATAAATCATATTAGACCCTCCCCTAGATCATTGGGCCGTACTTAAAACTCAAACAGGGCCGAGTTTAGTAAATTGGCCATAACTTCCTCAATATTCATCGGAATTGGGCTTATAATATATCGTTGGAAATGTCTTTGCAAGCCCCATCAAACTACACCACTATTGGACCCATATCATGGACCAAAAAAACTAGATTGGCTGTTTTCTTAAAATAAAGTTTTCAAAAACAAAGAGAAGAGAAGAGAAAAGAAATAAAACTTTCCGCAACACTAGACCTTTCCACACTTTCGTTTCATTCGATTATGATCTGACGTGAAAGGCACTCATCACTGGGTTTGGTTTTGAGGAGACACAAATGGGTGTCTACATGAACCTACTACCTACAAACAAGCTTTGACGAGCCCAGACTCTGAGAAATGGCTTGAGGCCATGAAATCTGAAATGGACTCCATGTCTGAGAACAAAGTTTGGACCCTAGTCGACTTGCCTGATGGGGTTAAACCTATTGGATGCAAGTGGGTGTTCAAAATAAAAACAGACAAGAATGGAAATGTCTATATCTATAAAGCAAGACTGGTTGCAAAAGAATTCAAACAAATACATGGTATATACTAAGATGAAACCTTTTCTCCAGTGGCAAAGATTAAGTCAATTCGGATACTTTTGGCGATTGCTGCACATTACAATTATGAAATTTGGCAGATGGATGTCAAAACCGCCTTCTTGAATGGGTTCTTGATGGAGGATGTGTAAATGACACAACTTGAGGGTTTTGAGGATCCAGAAAATCCCAAAAGAGTTTGCAAGCTTCAGAGATCCATTTATGGATTGAAGCAAGCGTCTCGGAGCTGGAATCTTCGATTTGATGAGGCAATCAAACAGTTTGGTTTTCTCAAGAGTGAAGAAGAATCTTGTGCCTATAAGAAATTTAGTGGGAGTAGCTTAGTATTCTTGTTTTTGTATGTAGATGACATACTACTCATAGGAAATGACATACCAATGCTTGAGTCAGTCAAGGAATGGTTGAGAAGTTGTTTTTCCATGAAAGACCTTGGAGAAGCTGAGTACATTTTGGGAATCAAAATCCATAGAGATAGGTCTCGAAGGATGCTTGGACTGAGCCAAGAGACTTATATTGATAAGGTTCTTGCAAGGTTCAATATGGAAAACTCTAAGAGAGGATTCATTCCCATGTCACATGGAATTTCACTTAGCAAGAGTCAGTGCCCATCGGAGCCTGACGAGTTGAAGTGAATGAGTAGCATACCTTACGCCTTGGCTATAGGTTCTATTATGTATGCCATGATATGCACTCGACCAGATGTTGCATTTGCTCTGAGCTTATGTAGCAAATTCCAAGCAAATCCAGGTGAAGCACAGTGGACTGCGGCTAAGAACATCCTAAAGTACTTGAGAAGGACTAAAGGAATGTTTTTGGTCTATGGAGGAGTAGATGAGTTGGTTGTTAAAGGTTACACTGATGCAAGTTTCCAGACCGACAGAGATGATTACCGCTCGCAATCAGGGTACATCTTTTGTCTGAATGGAGCAGCAGTGAGCTGGAAGAGTTCAAAGCAAGGCACTGTAGCAGACTCTACGACAGAATCAGAATATTTAGCGGCGGTTGAAGCAGCTAAGGAAGCTGTTTGGATAAAGAAGTTCCTAACAGAGCTAGGCATCGTACCTAGTGTTCTAGAAGGAATTGAGTTATTTTGTGATAATAATGGAGCTATTGCGCAAGCAAAAGAACCAAGATCAAACGACAAATCCAAGCATGTAATGAGGAAGTGTTACCTCACTCGCGAGATTGTAGACAGGAATGATGTCAAGATCTGCAAAGTTCACACGGATGAGAATGTTGCTGATCCACTCACTAAACCTCTCCCTCAACCCAAGCATGAACGTCACGCTAGGGCTGTAGGGTTGAAGCAAGTGTTAGAATGGCTTTAAATTGTTTTTTATTTAGAGAAACTTGTTACAATTTGAAGACATGATTTTCATGTTTTATGTTTATATAGTATGAAATTTTTCATCGTATTTAATTTTGGTTTAGTATTAAATAAAATCTCCAATATATTTATTGAATTTAATGGGCTTGTCAAATACGTGATTTCATGAATGAAACCCCATAAGTGAACTGAATTCATAAAATATTTAAGTTCCTAATCTGAGTTGTTAATTTGGACATAAATGACTCAATAAAAGGATTAGCATATAAGATCGATTGATAGTGCTGTTTCATGCGCTATGGAAACATGGAGATGTTTAGTCAATCATATGGATATGTATAGTCGATACATGATCGAACAAACCTACTTAGAAGTTCTAAAACTTCGCAAATTATATTAGTGGATTCCTTAGACATGAGCGGAACACTACTCAATTCAATGATTAGTGTAACCTTGATGTTGTCAAACGTCATGCCGTAAAAGGGGACTATAAAGGCGACACTCAGGTTGTGCTAAAAGTTGAGTGGGAGTTTTGGTTGCCACAAGATTGAATAGTTCCTCCTATGTTAGATGGGATGGGTGTCTTGGCCTCTTGAAGAGTAAGAATTGAAAATGCATGGTCGTGCTCAAATGGATCATAAGATGATCATTTGCTTAGCAATTCAAACTCGGATTTCAAGAAATAATTTGAACGCTAGTATGGATAGCATAGAGATGTGATCATACTATCAAATTAGACGCTAAGAGACTTAAGGAATTTGAATATTGCATACTTGTCTCGGACAAGTGGGAGATTGAAGGAAATGTGTCCTCGACTTTAGTGCAATTACTTAATATAATTATGGATCGTATTATGGAGACAATAATTCGTTTATTTGGGTCGTCTATACATCTTGCTAGAGAATGCTATAGAACTTTGGGTTAGTAAGTAACAAACCCGAAACCCGCCTAAATGGATCCTACAAGGTCACAAATTAGGATTGGATCAATAAAGAAACCCGAAGCCCAAAGTGGGCCTAGGGTGACCGGCCAAAAAAGGGAAAGGGGAGAGAAAACCCTAACCTAATTAATAATAATATGATTATATATTAATTAGTCAGGGATAATAAAAATATAGAGTATTCAGTTTTCTGAAAAACAACGTAAGTTTTCTCTCAATATTTTCTCTCCAAAAATTGGTTCTCAACTCCAAGAAAGGTGAAAGGTTTTTCCCGTCCAACTAGTATTGGTGGAGTGTTGATTCAATCCGGTGGACCAAATAGAGGAGTTGCAATTGAGGCTCTTTATCTCCGGTAGAGAAGAAGATTGCTAAGAGGATTCACGCTTCAAAGGTTAATTCTAAACTATTATGTGATCTTTATTTGTATATGCATGAGATCCTGTTTAGGTGCGTATGAATGTGATTCATGAAATTCCGCTTAGAGTACCTAAAACCCTTCAAATATCACTATTGGATTGAACTATTGAAGTCTCACCTCTAGTTCATCATACTCTTTCAAATATTCCCCCTTGTAAAGCACATTGGTGTGTTTCTCAAATCATTCTAAATCGAGTTTCATACTTTGATATAGTCAAAGACCTTATCTCTCAACATATTCTAAATCAACTTCATGCCACCCCTTTTCAAAACTAAATCCCTGTCATGAAAAATTTCAATGGAAAAGAATGAGCAAACTTTAAGATTGATTGGTCATAAATATCTGCATGAAAAAGGTAAATGAGATTGAATTCATAGAAACAAATGTTATATTTTGATGACCCAATAACAAAACCCAATCACAATTTTTAATTTAGTGACCATCTTAAAAACATCCACAAAATTACAGCCTTATAATAAAATTGGTAACTTCAAATCCTTTGAGAGCAGATATGCAGTTGACTTTTGTGGCGTCAACAGCCGCATGTATCAACTTCCTTTCGAGGTTTTGGTAACTTCAATTCTTTAAATGTAAAAATTTCCTCTTTTTTTTTCACTTTTCCTTCTTTATTGGATATTGTTTTTTTTTGGACATGCGATATTGTCTTTTCAATTACTTCAGAAGACATTTTTTTATTGACTCCATTTTTTGTAGGTAGTATGATGTATGCGTCAGTGCGTGCGTTATTTTCCTTTTATAGTTTTTGACACAAATTTTTCCCTTTATAGTTATTTTTATTTTATTTTATTTTTTTATGATAAAAAAAGATTTTTTTTATTTTTTTATGATAAAAAAAAAAAAAAAGATTTATGTTAGTTCATGAAGTGCAAGTGTTAACCTTTGACTTGTGTTTTGGAACATTATGTGTTATTTAGTTGTTTATTATAAATCATATCAAAGAACTTTAGAGTTTAGAGGAATCAAGTTGGCAGATTAAACTTAACTTTAGCACTTTTTCAGATCTAATTCAATTGTTTTCATTAAACTGCAATAAAAAAAAAAAAATATCCTATGATTGATTGTCAGAAATGAGCCGGCACATTTGGTAATAGTAATGACTGGTGTGTAATTATTTAAGGAAAAACTCTTGTGGAGAAATCGAATACGGGTTTTATTTTAATATAAAGTAAGTCGTTATCATCGACCTTACTTGTACATATAAATTCATTATCATTATCACTATTTAGTGCTGCTTACCAAAAAGGGTCGGAGTGGTGGTCTAATGCTAAATGAGGTAAACTACTGCTTTTGATTTCTGAACTTTGTGGTTGATGAATCAACAGGTATATATACTAGTAAAACAAAAAGTTGAAGATCAGAAGACCCTTTTAAATTGACAGATAGATCCTTTTGCTTTTGAGTTAGCTTCTCATCCCTCCATCTTTTAAGTTTGCAAGGGCAAAATCTGTTGTATGCAGAGGATGGACTCGGGTCCTGAAGCAAGGCTAATTGTATGTGAAGATGAAATGGTTGATCACTTTAAGCAAAGAGTTTGGGAAGAATCGAAACGAGTATGGGCAATTGCATTCCCTGCAATGGTGTGTCGTGTAACGACGTATGGAGCTTATGTGGTTTCACAAGCTTCATTTGGGCATATTAGAGAAGTGGATCTTGCTGCTTATGCTCTTGTACAAACTATACTAGTGCGCTTTGCCAATGGTATCTTGGTAATTAATCTCCTGTATCCCTTTGCTTCTTATTATCATTGTGCATCAATATTAGTTTGCATATTGTACTAGTATTGTTCTTGTATGCAATGTGATAGGAACTATGTTTATGTGTTTTATGATGCTTATTGTTAAAAGAAAATTCCTCTATAATCATGTTGCTCAGGAGTTTGGGTTTGTTATTCTTCATGTCATTTTTTAAGACTGATCTGAGGTTAATGTTGGCTTCTGAGTTTCAACCATTCTTTTCAGTTATTTTCTCTTAAATTTTCGTTATCTGAACTTGTTGATTTGAAGTTGCATAAACTTAGTTGTGCAATGAACTTGATGGATTTCCTTATCTCAACTGTTCGGTCTTTATCTGAACTTTGTAGAATTTCTGTTTTTCGAGTTTTTTTTTGGGGTGAAAGAAACGGCCTCAGTGTCAACTTTGTTAGTGTTTACTTCAAAATCAATCGGAAGGCTGAACTCTGAAGACATAATATTTAATATGAGCTAGTCATAGATATAACTTCTTACTAAATAAAATCACTATTCTAGGTGCAATGCATTACAGCCCTTGCGAGCATTAAATTTTTTATCATTTTGGTTTTTCTTCAGCTAGGCATGGCAAGTGTTACAGAGACTCTTTGTGGAGAATCCTTTGGAGCCAAACAATATGACATGATGGGAGTGCACTTACAAAGATCATGGATTGTAAATACTGCAGTAGCAACAATGATGGTGCCATTCTACATTTTCGCTACACCTCTCCTAAGACTTCTCGGACAAGAAGAGGATATTGCTGTGGCTGCTGGAAGCATATCTTTGTGGTTCATTCCCATTATGTATCTCAATGTTTTTGGCATGACTATGCAGATGTATTTGCAAGCACAAAATAAGAATATGGTGGTTACATGGCTGTTTGGGATATTGTTTTTTGTTCATGCCCTACTGTCATGGATATTTGTGTACATAATGGATTGGGGGCTTCCTGGGGTAATGATTGCCCTGATCATTGCATTTGCGGTGAAGGTGCTTGGTGAGGTTGTTTACATATTTGGAGGTTGGTGTCCACTTACATGGAGAGGATTCGATAAAGCTGCATTCACTGGTCTTATGCCTGTCCTGAAGTCCTCAACTTCTTCAGGTGTAATGCTCTGGTAAAATTTCTCTCCCTACACTAAACATTTCTCACTCACACAAATTTTAGTGGAATATTTGTATAATCAATTAACAATGAAACTCCAGATTTTAACCCAGAATAAGGATGTAATGACTATAATCAAATTTCAAGCTTTCGTGATCATCTTACCTTAATATTGGTATTGGTGCTTGATCATAAACAGTTGAAAGAAAATTATAATGGTGTTTGTTCATAAATCGTTCAAATAGCCATCATAGTGGTTTGCTACCATTTTTTATTCGTATGAACTTTCATGAGATTTCATATATGACTAATTTGAGATTAGTTGCTGTCTAAAAATGTGTAATGGTATTCAACATATCATAAACTTTGCATTTAGTGATGTACCAACTGTAAGACTACTTCTTTGATATGCACAGAGAAAATTTTGAAGACATCGACTTGAACCATTTTAAACCTGAATGAAAATAAACGATCTTGCAGTTCTCATATACCGCTTCCTCTACTTGCCCCCTTAATCTATTCTGTAATGGGATTCTCACCGAAGAACTGTTTTTTACATTGTGCTAATTGGATCTTTGTTCTATATCTTCCATAGCATCCAGGTGTGGTACAATGCTATTTTAGTTCTATTAGCAGGATACATGAAATATGCAACAGTTGCCATTTCTGCCTTCTCAATTTGGTAAGGATTCTGAATAGAATTATCGCTTTCCTTTTTGATTTTCCTTTCCTCACTCTGCAGAATTCAATCTAACTGAATAAATTTTTTACAGCTTAAATGTGAGTACATGGGAACTCATGATATGCCTTGGCTTTCTGGGTGCTGTATGGTAAGCCTCATACTAACTTTTCTTGGCTTATGCCATAGGATGAACATTACTCACTGCATTTAATTCTCTGTGTAGTGTCCGGGTTTCAAATGAACTAGGAAGAGGAAATGGCAAGGCAGCGAAATTTTCAGTTGACGTGATCTTGTACACCTCAGTTATTATTGGCATATTCTTTTGGATTTTATGTTTGGCATTTGGCCATCAAATTTCATACTTGTTTACAAGCAGTGAAGAAGTTGCAAAAGCCGTGTCTGACCTTTCTGTCCCCCTTGCATTTTCGATTCTACTAAACAATGTTGGACCAGTACTATCAGGTAAGTAATACTGTCATTACCACTGCTTAACATCAATCTAGATGTTGTTTGCCATTCTTGCCTCGTGTTTTTGTGATAAATTTCTTCATTTCTATCAGTTTGGACTGTTATGATGCTTAGGCATAAAATTCGACTGTCCTAATTTTGTATTTCAAGAATCCAATGTAAAAAACTTTTAAGACATGAGGACATGTTATGAGTGCCCAAAGCTTCAACATGGATACAAAAACATGTACTCTCTTTGTCATCTATGTGATAGGAAGTTATTAATATCCTTCTTTTTGCAAAATCGAAGTGTTCATGCCCAGTTGGACTGTCAAGCATCCTACATGAACATGTGAACTGTAATGAAGAGTCCGAACATCATACATCTTAAGCTCATATTGCCTAGCCCTTACTTTGTTCAGTTGTCTTGATTCAAACTTAGTGTAATTACATAGTTAAAGTAGAAAGTTTTGGAACATTGCACCTGTTCTTTTTATTTGGTAAAAGCTATGGTTGCAATTGAATATTTAGGTAATTTAGCAAATATTTAGGTATTCTACTAGTTTATATTATATCTCAAAGAGTTGTTTCCACACAGGAGTTGCAATTGGCTGTGGATCACAAGGAGTGGTTGCAATTGTTAATGTATGTTCATATTATGTCATCGGGATCCCGATTGGAGTTCTACTGGCATATGCTGCTCATATGGAGGTTAAAGTAAGAAACTCCCAATCCTTCTTATAACTGTGAATACTATGGATGGAAATTAGATAAAATCAAGTAACAAATTACACTATTTCTTATCAAAATTGTCTGAGACTAATTTTTTTTTTTTCTCTGACGAAAACAGTGGACTGAACATAGAGTGTCATTCTTTGATGATAAACTGATAGCAGTTCCTAGATTGTCTCTTTGTTGTATTGAGAAACACATTGAACTATTGAAGTATATAAATACCAGTATATATTTGCCACCAAAAAGTTCGAAATTACTAGCCATTATGTTACTCCCTTGGTCCGGAAACAGTTTCTTATTGTCTTAACCCCTCATAGTTAAGAATATGACACAATTTTACAAAAAGTTGTTTTCTAGGATTTGTTCCATTGATCTTGTAATTGTTCAATTGTGAGTGAAATAAACCATACACTTGTTTTAGTATATGCAACACTATATCTGTTTTTACTTTTGTAAAAATTCTTTAGCCACTGCTTAACTTCAACCATTAATATACCCATGACCAAAAATTAATAAGAAAATTTAATTTTAATAAAATTCACACTAAGAGGAATCTAACATGATGCCACAAAAGATAATCAAAGTAGATTATTTGAATCATGTCAAAATAAAAACATAGCAATTAATAAAAGACAGAGGTAGTATTAATTTTTATCAGTTGATGTATTGTTGTATTTTACGAATATGTTTGTTTTGTTGTAGGGAATATGGATAGGAATGATGTGTGGAATGGTAACACAAACGATTGCGCTTCTTTACCTTACATGGAAAATTGATTGGGTGGACGAGGTAATGCCAATTCAGTCACTCATATTAGTCATATGGTGGTTTGATTTACTTGCATAATTGTTTTTTTAAGTTTGAAGTTGTGTATGCTACTCTTCAACTCCTCATCATTATGCTAATTTATCAGACTGTGCCCAACTTACAGGTTAAAAAGGCGTCGAAACGTCTGTATCATCTTTCCTAATAAGATAGAACTTTACCTTGAATTCTTATCAATGATTTGAGAAGAAAGTTCACTATTAGACTATTGTCACCACTTTTACTACTTCACAAGCTGTAAACAAGTTCGAAAGGCTTGTTATTGCTACAACCTCGGGGTCATAATTCATCGAATATGGTTTCAAATTTCATTTTTGAAGAGTTGCATTGCATTGCTGAACTTAATTATCTTACTTCCCAAGGTTTGTCACAAGACTCGCTACCAAGAGCAAGAAGTTCGCTGACTTATGTAGAGCAAGAGCTTGTAGAAAGAAAGGATACTTTTTGTTTTTTTGGAACGGAAAAGGTTATTTATTTTTGTATGTAATAACTAGTTTTTTGCTCGGGCAATACCATTACTTATGAGAAACATTTGTGTTTACTGTTCCAATGCCTCTTTCTCTTTAGCCCAATTCAACTACAATGCAAGTTGGTCTTATGATGATAAGGTAACCTTAAATGTGTATTTTTATAACCCAGGAAGCTGCAGCAGCCAAGCTGTTGTCCAGGCAGCTGCACTAGCCCAGGTAGCAGCCTAGGTTGCTGCCCAGGCAGCTGCCGGCTGCAGGCCTCGGGTTATGCTCGTGCGTATTTTGTGCGGGTTATTCCCTATGAATCTAATCCCGTGAGCAGGTTATGCGCTGTGTTCCTAAATCATCATACTTACCATTGTATCGTCCCAAAATTTTTGAAGCAACTCGTAAGGTATACCGGCCCAGTCAAGTGTGATTGGTATTTTACGAGTTAGTATGCCAAATTGACTAGTAAATTTATCGCGCCATTGGCCAGTAGGTTGACCTAGCTCATCAAACTCAAGCACCATAGGAACCACGGGTTTCTTGAAAGCTTTTGTTGCACCCCTACTATTTCTGTTCACCGGTGCCTTTACCCCTCCTCCACCACCGGTGGTTTTCACTTGGCTTTGCATTTGAGTTTGATAATGTGAATAACCTACAAACTCGGAAACCACATTATCCTGAATAGGCGGGGCACTTTCAGCTATACGCTCATATTCATCAAGCTTATGTTGCAACTCGTCATAAGCTTGGTCTTCCGGTTCCCCCATATCTGTCTCCTTATTAATATCATACAACTTGTCATCATCTTCATCATCCATATCCTCATCATAATGAAGGTTCTCATCAGGATCCTTGATATGTACACTCCTACAGTAACAAGTAAAGCATGTTGTTAGTCATCAATAATGACAATCAAATCTGAGGCACCAAAAAAGCCAAACACTTACCCAACTTCTTTGGTTTCATAACAAATTCACATATAATCCTCTTAACAATTCATATATTTAGTGTATATTACATGCTTATACGTTGAAAATGCAAAAAAGTAAAATACTTCCTAAAATAAACAAGGTTGTAGGAGCGAAAGATATTTAGTAAATAAAACATGCATCTATAAAAGTACCTCATTCGAGTATTCCCTCATTGTGGTCAGATCGAATATAAGTAGCATCATAATCTACATTAGTTGCTACATCAAGTGTAGGAGCAGTGAAAGGGGGAGAATCATCAAATGCATCATATTCTTCCTCGTCTTCAACCTCTCCAACCCCTAAAATTCTCCTTTTGCCAGCAAGGACGATGGACCATTTTGGATCAGATGGGTCAGTTACATAGAACACTTGCTTAGCTTGAGATGCAAAGATGAATGGTTCCAGACTATCCCGTAAGTGGCCAAGATCTACAAGAGTGAAGTCATCATTTCTCACCTTACGCCTATTATTATCAACCCATTTACACTTAAATAGACCTACCTTGAACTCACGGTAATCTAGTTCCCATATTTCCTAAAGTCATCCGTAGTATGATAATAGTGCGTCAACTGGTGATGTATCCTTCGCACTTGCAAACTCTCTTTATGAAGCCATAAGAGTGACATCACTATTTTGAGTCGATGAGGATTTTTTATCCCGACTCTCAGTCCAGAATGTGTACCCATTTATGTCATATCCCTCAAATGAATGAACATCTTCCTTTGGACCAGCTAGCCACTTTATTGTATCAGACACAGTCTCATCCAATTGACGCATCACACGATTATGGAACTACTTCATAAACATCTTATTATGCAACTGCATTAGTGCTCTTTCCCCTTTTGATGGAAATTCAACACACAAACTATCCATATGCTCTTCTAAATATGGGTGAACCTCCGTAATATGATGTAGCAAAAATAGGTGAGCTTGCATGATTTGATCTCGAGCAGCCCAGATCCTTTTTGAACCGATTGTGCCATGAACATCAAGTCTCCCTTCATGTCGGGAAGTGGGAAGCCCAATAGGTTCGGCAACGGCAACATACTCTTCCACGAAATTCCCAATCTCCTCGGACACAATTCCTTGTATCATACTGCCTTCTGGATGGGCTGGATTTCTTACCTGATCTTGCAGTGTACCCATGTGTCTTTCAAAAGGGTAGCACCACCTCATAAAGACTGGACTGCACAACTTAATCTCACGAACCAAATGCATAATCAAATGCACCATTATGTCAAAAAGTGACTATGGGAAATACATCTCAAATTTGCACAAAGTTACAACAACATTGGCCTGAAGAGCATCAAAGTAAAGGGATCAAGAACTTTGCTTCAAATAGTATTGAAAAACCCATAGAGGCTTGTAATAACTTCTCTCACGTGCTTTGGTAAAATACCACGAATTGCAATCGGTAGGAATACTTGCATCATCATGTGACAATCATGGGATTTCATACTTGTCAACTTCAATTCTCCATTTAAGGAAACAAACCTCTTCCTGTTTGACGAGAACCCATATGGAAGCTTAATGTCATACAAACAAGCACTAAACCTTCGTTTTTCTTCCTTTCTTCTTTGTGATACCCATGGCCTTTTCCTTGCGCTTCCCCTTACGGTTTTGTCCACCATCTTCTGTTCCCTTTTCCTTTACCTTCACCATCCCTACCTTTGCTTTAACCCACAATTCCGGACGAACACCCCACGCTTGCAAATCTAATCGCGTACTCTTTCCATCCTTTGTTTTTCTAGGAATGTTCATAATTGTCCCAATAATTGTATCACAAACATTCTTCTCTATATGCATCACAACGAGACAATGTCTAACATCATGTTCTTTCCAGTACTCAAGCTTCCAAAAGATTGATTCCTTTTTAAAGAGAGCGTGTGGGTCAATTGGTTTCTTTTTTTTTACCAAAAACACATGGTATACCCTTCATTCTAGCATAAACCTCCTTTCCACTCAATGGACTAGGCGCAACCCCCTCCTCAACTTTCCCATTAAAGGTCTTTTTCTGCTTACGATACGGGTGATCACGCCTAAGAAATCTTCGAGTCCTCACATACACATCTTTTCCATAGTGATCAAGGTACACGTTTGGTATGTCATCGATACAAATAGGACATGCTTTATGCCCTTTGTTCTTGTACCCGGACAGGTTGCCATATGCGGGAAAATCATTGATGGTCCACATAAGGGCAACACGTAAAGAAACATCTCGTTCTTATGGATATAAAAAACGGTAACACCTTCATCCCACATCTTTCGCAAATCATCAATAAGAGGCTTAAGGTAAACATCGATGTCGTTTCCAGGTTGCCTTGGCCCCGTTATCAAAAGTGAAAGCATTATGTATTTCCATTTCATACACAACCACGGAGGCAAGTTGTAAATCACTAAAAGTACCGGTGATGTGCTATGTTTGGTACTAAGAGTGCCAAATGGATTCATACCGTCCGTGCACAACCCAAGCCTTAAATTTCTAACTTCACCACCAAATGCACGAAACTTCATATCGATGTTTTTCCATTGTGGAGAGTCAGCAGGATGCTTCAAAAAACCATTTTTCTTTCTTCCCTCAGCATGCCATCTCGAGTTTTTAACATCTTTTGGTATTGAAAATAGATGCTTTAACCTTGGAATAATAGGAAGATACCACAACACCTTGGAAGGAGGTCCTTTCATACCAGCATTGCAGCTTGATCGCTTGTAACTCCACTTGCCGCAACGTGGACACTCCTCCAACTCTTCATATTCTTTTCGATACAGAACACAATCATTAGGAAATGCATTTATCTTCTTATACTCCAAATCGAATGGACACATGAGTTTCTTTGCATAATAGTAGGAATTAGGAAGTTCATTCCCATTTGAAAACATATCACATAACGCAGTCAACAAAGAAGTGAAACTAGTGTCACTCCAATTATTCTTAGACTTAATGTTAAAAAGTGTAAGCACGGCTGAGAGTTTTGTGTATTTTTTGGACCCAGGATACAAAGGCTTTTTGGCAGCCTCTTGTAATGACTCAAATACATCAAATCGGTCACCAAATTCACCTTCAACATCACGCATCATCTCATCTAAGTGATCACCACCAGCATCCTCGGTCTCATCTCCATCACCACCATCATCACTCCCATTTTCTTCTTGAACATGAATCTCGGCACTTTCAACATGCGTTTCATTGCCAATAACATTCTCTCTATACGATCTCTTTTCACCATGCCAAACCCAAACATGATATTGAGGCCTAAACCCATAACATTGTACATGATCCATGATGGTATCAACACTATCAACCCTTGTGACATTACAATTGACACAAGGACAATAAAGGTAATTGACACCCGTTCTGAGCTGATACCGTGAAGCACTCTTGCAAAAATCTTGAACCCCATTAAAAAATTCCAATGTATCACGTCTGCCATACATCCAACCGCGATCCATTGACGTTTTAAATTGCCTTTAAACATACCAACACATTTCAAACAATGTATAAATGTAACATATATTATGTCAATCAAAGTACATAGCATATATATCATCCATATTGCGTAAAAATGAATGCTCCCAAAAGGTCCTTATCACTCCAACCTAACCCATCCTTGAACGTCTAATCTCACTAGTGAATGTATGTCAACTTTTCAATTTTAAGGAAAATCCGGCAGCATTTCCCCCAGTTCTCCAAGTACACAATGTAGGTAATAACTTACTTACATATGTACCTAGAGAACATGGTGAGAAAATGATAAGCCGAGATATTCCTTAAAATCGAAAAAGAGACATACATTCACTACCTAAATGAGATTAAATGTCCAAGAATAGTCCCAATCGGGGACCATTCAAGACTTTCTCCTATTGAGAAAGACTGGAACGGGTATCTAGGCAAATGATGATGCAAGCATTCAATAATTTACATTTATTTGACATTCAACAATACACAAGTTCATTCATTTTTATAGTGCTAATAATTAAATTAACCTAACTACAATCAAACTAAGGTTACTTATATATATATAGAAATCCATTATATTCATACATTGCAATTTACTAACCATATTTAACAAACTAAAATGTTAATTAATATATATTCTATTAAAAAATTTCAC